TTTCATTCTAAGTGTTTTGGAATTGTCAAAAGCTATGCCTCTTTAAGTAGATTTTTCTCCAAGATCCCTTTCAGGACTAAATTACTATGCTCTTATGTAAGGAAATAGAGAGTGGCCCAGTCCATTCCTGAGAACCTGTTGAACTGAGAATTTGTCACCAAAGAGGCCACAAGGTGGCGCAGGAGTCCAAGTTGCTCACTTTCTACGAGCCAGCAATGGGGGCAGTTGTCTCCAAATCCCACAGTTCTGCCCCCTTTCTCAGAAGTTCACAGACTTCTAGTATAAGGGGTGAGAGGATAGAAAAGGAGAAATGGGGGCTGGGAGGTGAGAGTTCCATTGACATCCTAGATTCAGGAAAATTGAATGCAGAGACTTTTTTTTAAAGTTCTGGACTTTCCCATTAAGCTTAGAGTCAAGGGACCTGAATTCAAATGCTAGCTCTGATCATTATTACCTCTGCAACCTTAAGAAAATTACAACCTCTCTGGGCCTCAGTTCCCTATTCTCTAGAAATAAGGGAGTTGGACTAGATTACCTTTGAGGTCCCTTCCTCTATCGGGACAACAAAGTGGCCCAATGGATAGAGCCCAGGACTTGGAGTAAATGCTACCTCAGACACTTGGCTGTGTGACCTTGGGGAAGTCATTTAACTTCTCTGTGCCTCAGTTTCCTAAACTGTAAAATGAGGATAATTATAGCACTGTACCCCACAAGGGGCTGTTTTGAGGATCAAATGAATTAACATACATAAAGCACTTTGCTAACATTAAATCACTGCACAAATGTTAACTTTGGGCAGTTTGGTGCCACAGTGGATTGAGTGCTGGGCCTGGTGTCAGAAAGACCTGAGTTCAAATCCAGCCTCAGATACTTACCAACTGTGTGACCCTGGGAAAATCACTTAACCCAGGGGTGGCCCTCTAGGTCCTCAAGTGAGGCCCTTTGACTGAATCCAAACTTCACAGAACAATCCCCTTAATAAAAGGATTTGTTCTGTAAAACTTGGATTCAGTCAAAAGGTTGCACCCAATGACCTGAAAAATTAATGTCCACCTCAGTTTCCTCGACTGTAAAATGGGGAATCATAATAGTACCTACTCCCCAGGGTTGTTGTGAGGATCAAATGAGATATTTGTAAAGCGCTCAGCACAGTGTCTGGTATGTCGTAGGCACTGAATAAATGCTTCCTTCCTTCCAGCTCTAAATGTATCATGAGTTTAATTATCAATTCCACATTGATGATTCCCAAATCAACACAACTTGTTATTTTGACCTGGTCTCTCTATTGAGTTTCAGTCCCTTATTATCAACTAACTCTCTATTAGACCTTTCAAACGGACGCTCCCCCCCTTTTTTTTTTACATTTTTATTTCTCAAATTCAACATGTCCAAAATAGAACTTTTTAATTTTTCCCAAAAACCCATGCTCTCCCAAGCATCCCTCTTTCTAGGGAGGGCGCCATCATCTTCACAGTCACCCAAGTTTGCAACCTTCATGTTATCTTTAACTCTGCACTCTCCCTCACCCGATAGATCTAATCACTTGCCAGACCTTATTGTTTTTACCTCCACAACATCTTACATCTGCTCCCTTCTTTGTATTCACAGAGCTACCACCCCAGTTCAGGTTTTCATCAGTCTTGATATCCCTGCCTTAAGTCTCTCCCCTCTCCTCCATACAAAGTGATTTTCCTAAAGTGCTGGTCATACTACGTCATTCTCCTACTCAACAATCTCCAGTAGTTCCCCACGACCTCAAGAGTAAAACGTAAATTCCTCCTTTTGCCAGTTAAACTGTTCACAACCTGACCCTAATCCACTTTATAACGTTGTTACACATGACGCTTCTTCATGAGCTCTACAGATCAGTCAAAATGGCCTCCTTACCATTCCTCACAAACAACATTCTATCTCTTCTCTCTGTGCGTCTTTGGGGGAGGGAGTCCTATGCCTGGAATGTACTCCTTTTTCATCTTGACCTTATAGAATTCTTGGTTTCCTTTATAACAATGGCCTCCTCCACAGGAAATATTGGGATAGAGATGGTGAAGAACCATGGGACATAAAGACTTGGCAGGCTAGAATGTGCATAGACACACAGGAGAGCCCCCAAGTTTCTGGTTCCAATGGCCTTGAAGTGAACTTGCATCAAGGTGTTAGAAGACCACAGGGATGGAGAGAAGAATAAAAAGAGGGACTACCAGCCACACCATTTTCCATACTTTTCTTGACAAGCTCAGCAGGAAACACAACATGGGTATACTATATTCCCTTGCAAAGGAAAGCAAAGGAAAGCAAAGCCATCACCACTGGTAACCTAGCATCAGATGGCACCCCTGCATTGTCGGCTATACCACACTTTACTTTCAAGCCTCAGCTCAGGTTCTACCTGAAGCTTTGCCTGCTTTCCCTCAATAAATTCTTTTTTCTCCCTAAAATATGTTTTAAAATATGAGCTCCCTGCGGGCAGGGGCTATTTTATTTTTGTCTTTGTATTTCCAGCACCTAGCACACTTGACTGGCACATAGCTTAACACATTTCTGTTGATTGATCGCCACAGCAAAGGATCTGAGATGGAGAGGTTAGATAAGAGGAAAAGGTAAGAAGATAAGTTAAGTGGGAGGAGAAGCCAGGAGCACAGTGCCACAAAAGCTAAGAGGAGGAATGAATCCAAGAGGAGGGGGCAGTGGGTGACAATATCAAAAGCTGCAGAAAGGTCAAGGAAGATGAACCCTGGGTGGGGAAAGGCCATCAGATTGAGAAGTTAAGTAAATACTTATAATTTAGGAAATGCCTTTCAAGTCAAGTGGTAATTTCTAAAGCCAGATTACAAGGGTTTAAGAGGTGAATGAGAGGTAAGGAAATGAAGAATGTAATTTTTTTTCTAGAAGTTTAACCATGAAAAGATGAAGAGATAAATGACAATACTTTAGCAGAATACCAATAACACTGTGAAGGTTTTTTGAAGAATGGGAAAGGGCTGAGCAAATCTATAGGCAGTCATAATAAGCCAATAGATAAAATTTGTTTAAGGTGACAGAGAAAAAAGTAATGATTAATGAGGCAAACTCAAGGGAACAGTCAGAAGTAAATCTCATCCATTCATAAAGGATTATAGATTTAGAGCTAGAAGGGACCTTAAAGTGACCTCCAACTCTAGCCCAACCCCCTCATTTTACAGAAAAAAAAAACTGAGACTCAGAAAGATTGAGTGTATCCCTCAAGGACACACAGGGGTAAGGGCAATTCCAGGATTCAAAATCAGGTGTGCTTTTTCCATAGCCCCACATGGAATGTCCTTCTTTCAGCTTCCACCAATAAGTAGATGATGCATATACCTATGTTTCTAGCCTTGACCTCTTCACTAAGGTCCAGATTCACATTTCTTTCCACCACCCACCTGATGTTCCACTGGTACCTCAAATTCAGTACGTCCAAAACAGAGCTCATCATCTCCAAAAAAAAAAAAAAAATCAAAACATGCTCCTTCTGCCCTGTTTCTGTCATTGTTACCACTTTCATCCCAGCCTCCTGGGGTTAATTCAATTAATCAATCATTAAGCATCTATCAGACAACTATGTTGGAACAGTTAGGTGGCACAGTGGATAGAGCACTAGGCTTGTAATCAGGAAGATTCATCTGCCTGAGTTCAAATCTGGCCTCAGACATTTATTAGCTATGTGACTCTGGACAAGTCATTTAGCCCTGTTGGCCTCAGCTCCTCATCTGTAAAATGAGCTGGAGAAGGAAATGGCAAACATTCCAGTGTCTTTGTCAAGAAAACCCCAAATAGGGTCACGAAGAGTCGGCCATGAGTGAAAGGACTGAAAACAAATGTGTCAGGCACTGAGCCAAGCACTCAAAACCTCAGAGCCATTTTCGAATCTTCCCACCATTTGCCAAATCCTATCTTTTCTTCCTTTTCAATAATTTTCACATTTGTCTCTTTTTTCCCAATCTCACTGTTTTTAATGTGTCTCCATTAGGAGATCCAATCTCTCCTCCCTCCTACCCATCCTACAATCTACTGCCAGATCTGCCTCCCAGTAACACAGGTCTGATCAGTCCCAACATCTGTAAAACAAAAGGAGTGAGACTCCTGGCCTCTTCTATCTCTGACATTCTATGTTTATCTAATAAAGTATGTCACTTTTCCTTCTTAAAAGCCTTCAGCAGCTACCCAAGTTAGGCCCAGATTCCTTAGGGTGGTATTCAAGTTCCTCCTCAGATCTATCCTCAGATTTACATCTCACAAATCTCAAAGACGTCTACCAAAGTATAGAGGGTGGAGAGCTATGTCGGTATCCCTGTTTTTACCAATGATATCACAGTTCCTTCAAATATAAAAATTTGCCTCCCATATTTATGCTACATTTCTGTCATATGGTCTCCCATTCAGGCATTTACTCAACAAATATTTATTAAGTACCTACTGTGTAATAGGGCACTCTACTCAGATACTGGGGAAGGCACAAAGTTTAGCCAAGACACAGTACCTGTCCTCATAAAGATCATATCTTAGTAGGGAGATAATACACAAACATTGATAAATATAATACTCAACATTATATGATAAGTAACTGAGAGAACCGTTTACTTAGGGTCTGAAAGGGAAAGTCCTTACCCACTAGAGGATCTGAGCCATACATGAGTTTGTATTTATATTTTTTTTATTAATGTTTTATGCTTTCATCATTTCACTTCACTTCAATGGGACTGGAAATATGTGCACAAGTAAAGCAGCTTGGTCAATGGATGGTTGGCCTGTGGGCTCCCTCAAACAAATGTCCCTTCCTTAACCATTCTCCTTACCCTCCTCAACTCCTCAGATGGTCTCTCAGGAAGATAGGCCATTTAGATACCTAGGGCCCTCTTGAATGGCCTAAAGGACCACCTGAGTGAAGAAATGTGGATAAAACCCCCAATTTTAAAAATTTTTTAAAAACCTGGGATTGGGAAGTTTGAAGGGAGGGGTAAAAGAAGAGTTAAATTTCTTACCAAGAGAAACATAAGCCAATCCTCCAGCTAGCTCAAGAGAATGGTGTGACTGACTCATATCCAGAATTATTCAGCCCCTATAGGAAAATATATGAAAATGGAAAATTAACCCCCAATTTCTATAATCTTTCCATCTGCCCCGAGCCTTCTTCCCAGCTCAATTTGAACACCAAGAAGGTGGGGAGAGCCTTGTGAGGGTCTTCAGAGTAGACCCTACTCTATCCCCTCTGCTCTCAGCACAGGCTAATTTTGGTTAAAAGTGAAGTGTCTCTAGGGCAGCTAGGTGGTGCAGTGAATAGAGCTCTGGCCTTGGACTCCTAAGGATCTGAGTTCAAATCCAGCCTCAGACACTTAACACTGACTGGCCGTGTGACCCTGGGCAAGTCACTTAGCCCTGATTGCCTCACCAAAATTTAAAAAAAAAAAAAGTGAAGTGGTTCTGAATCTCTCAATAAGATTATGTGATCAGGGCAGGGAGAATATAAAAGAACATATTCAACCAACAGGTGGCACTGATAGCCACTCATTAGAGAGGCTCATGCTCATGCAGGGGTGGGGAACCTGCAGCCTTGAGGCCACATGTGGTCTTCTAGGTCTTTGGGTGCAGCCTTCAGACTGAGTCCAAGTTTTACAGAACAAATCCTTCTATTAAGGGTATTTGTCCTGTGAAGTCTGGATTCAGCTGCACTTGAGGACCTAGAGGGCCACATGTGGCCTCAGGGCCACTGTTTCCCCACCCCTGTCAGGTTTATCTAGGACACGCTCCCTATAGATACTAAAAAATCAGTTATCTTTCTTTTGGCTTTTTACTGGCAGAGAGATCTGCATTCACTCCTAGTCAAAGGATATGTGGTCTGGAGGATTCATCCAATCAAAATCAGCCCTGAGCCCCCACCCACCGGCTCACCACACCTTCTTTTAACCAGGCTAGTGTTCAAAGCCTATTAGTCATGTGACCTTGGCATGATAGCATCGACTTTAGAAAGATATTGATAAGCATGTTTGGATATTGCATGCCGAATTTACTCTTAGCAGAGAATCAATAAACAAATATGTGCTACATAATAGCTAGAGAACAATGCATAATAAAATGAGATATGTGCTTAGCAACCCCAGCCTCCAGCTCTCCTCAATCCTGGAAGACCTCAGACAATTCCAACACAATGTAGAGCTTGAGTGTGCTTATTTTCCCAAGGCCACCTACCTTCAAGAGGGCGAAGGCAACAGCAGCCCAGTCAATGCTCAGTTCCCCCCATCCACCTCCCAAAGCTCTGGGGGAATTTGATTTCCTAAGATTTGTGGCATAGGTATCTCAACCCGAGGAACGGAGCTTGAAATGGAGTACCTATTGGAACTCAGGAGGGTTACTTCTTTCCCCCATCTCAGCAGTCTGGTTAAGGGCAAGCACCATCAACTCCTAGCCTCAGTCAGCCCCTCCAAAAGCATACCGAGCAGACTCAGCAGTCAGCTCCATCAAGGGAAAAGAACAAGCCTTTATGAAGTGCCTACTATGTGACAGGCACTACACTAGGTTCCTTACAAACACCTCATTGGATCCTCGTAAGAATCCTGGGAGATAGGTGCTATTACTAGGGTCCTCATTTTATAGTAGCAGGAGCTGAGTCAGTTGAAGTGTCTTCCCCACAGTCACACTGCTAGTAGGTATCTGGGGCTGGATTCAAACTCAGGTCTTCCTGATGCCGGGTGCAGTGTTCTATCAGGGCTGCCTAGTGTCCCCATTTCAATCTTGCAGCCAGCCTTTCTCTGCTGCCCCTCTTCCTCTCACATCCCTGGCTGCTCCTAGAAGCAGGTGCACAGAGAAGGCTCACAGGATCACAGACAGAGAGCCGGAAGGGACCTGAGAGGCTACGGAGTCAACCCTCATCTTACAGAGTTCACTACCCAAAAGGAAAGAGGAGAATTTCTTAAGTCACTAGAATCCCTTTTTTTTTAATCCTTTAAAGAAACATTTAGTGGTTACATGAATAGCGTGCCAGACCTGGAGTCAGGACGACCTGAGTTCAAATCCAGCCTTAAACAATTACTTCCTGTATAACCCTGGCAAGTCACTTAACTTCCGTCTGCCTCAATTTTCTCAACTGTAAAATGTGGATAATAATAGCACCTGCTTCCAGGGCTATAGTGAGGATAAAATGAGATTGTATTTGTAAAGTGCTTTGAAGCCCTTAAAACACTATAGGAATGCTAGTTCTTATGATTATGATTATTATTATTATCATTATCATTATATACTAAGTAAACATCATGAAAACCAAACATTTGTGTATACAGCAATAAAAAATAGTTACCAAACTCCATTAACTATTGTGTGATTCTTGTCAAAGTTTTTCTTTTAAGTACATATTAATTTAATGTTTTAATGAACAAAAATCCATTTTCTCTCCCTCCCACTTCCCCCCATTAAAAAATGAAAGAAAAACAAAACCCTTATAACAATATATATGAACTTTAACAAGATAACAAAACTCCTTTCTATTGTAACTACTGAATCTACTGTAGTTTTTTGCATTTTGATGTTGTTTTCTAAAGGGATCCTTTTATATGACCCTTCTTTATTTTTTTCTCTACAAATGGATCATTAATTTTATTTGCACACTTGCTAAAAAAAAATCAAAGGACTTTCTATTTACACATGCAATCCTGCAACCATTCCCTGAAATAGCAACATAAATCATCTGCCCCAGTACTTAACAGTAATTCATATGTTTGCAACTTTAACAGGTATGACCCTTCTTTAAATAGATTCCATTTCTGTTCCTTTTTCCTTCTCTCTACTCATCCAAACACTTTTAAATTCTACTTGAAAGAGGGCAGTAGAGGGGAAAGGATAGTGCAATTAAATCAGAAAATGACTATAATATAAAAACAAAATACATTAATAAGACTTATATCAAAGTAAAATAGTTGAAAAGAAGCTGGTTCATCCCCCTGTAAGGTAGAACTTCAAAAATAATCCTCTCAGTCTGGCAGAAGAATGTGTCTTTGTTCAGGTTTGGTAATCCACTAGTGTGATAATAGATTGGCTACCATTGTCCAAGAGGGATGGGGGAGTGGGTTAGGGGATGTCTTAGGTTTGGGTGGGACTTAAGGTCCTCAATGAGCTGGTGCTAGGCATTGTGGCACAGAACTGGGCATTGTGGTACAGTTTTACCAGCACTGGCAGTTTACTATGCTGGGAATCCATCCCTTCCTTATCAAGAGGCACACCCAAAGCTCCTTCTGGGAGAGATTGTCCTCACCCTCTTTCTATCAAGGATAGCTGCTATGCCTCCTCCCACTGTACCTAGAGTGCTTCCTTTTGCTGACAGTCATATTTGCCCAGCTAGCCACTGTGATCCCAGTCTCCGACTCAAATTTCACCAGTTGGTCTGGCCATGTCTCTATGACAGTGTGCAGAGGAAAACCAGCCACCCTGGGCTCAGCCCAGAAGGTGGAATATAATTGTCCCTAATGTAGACTAGTCATGAGGCGTGTTGGGCCATAGGGGGCAGCATAGATCCAACCTACGAAACCTATTTCTTTCAAAAATTTTACCTACTGCATTGGGAACTCACCTTTGTAGGGCTGGGTATGCACAGCTCCCCATCTTAGCTATCTAAAAAGAGATAAGAAAATAAAGAAGAAACTAAAGAAAAAATGTAACTAAAAAGAGATAAGGTGCAACCCTTCTGGAGGCTCTGATTTAACTGCCTTTACAAAAGTAAGTCTTCTGTCAACTCCCCATGGCAATGGAACTCTGCAATGAAGATCTACAATTTTGCTCCTTCTGACCACATCCTCCATAGCCTTTGTTCCATTGATTCATCAGGTTATAGTTTAAATTTCTGCAGCTTCCCACGATCCTTCGTGGCCAAAACCCTTCCACTTTCCAACCCCTCTGTGAAGGACATCACACTATGGGGTATACTAATAAACTAAGACCAAGGCTTTCTAAACACTGGTGACAATTCCCAGTTCCCAGCCTTATTCCTACCTCCATTTTCTTCCCCTTCCAACCCCGAGGTCAGGAGAATCTAACACATTTTCTAGTGAAACCTCTGGATCCTTGTCTGCATCTCCAACATTGCCCCTTCCTAGTTCTGCTGTTCTATCCACTAGCTGCCCCTCCATGCCTTCAGAGAACAGTCCTTAGAAACCAAAGAACTCTGGCCCCAGTTGTTGAATGAGCACAGACAGTTTACTTTCATTTTCCTTCTGCTGATGATCCAGTTTTTTTTCACCTTCTAATAGTTTTCCCAATTACAATGTAAAAATAATTTTTGACATTCATTTTTTGTAAAATTTTGAGTTCCAAATTCTCTCCTTCTTTCCCTCCCCGAGAATGCATGCAATTTGATATAGGTTATACATGTGCAATCATGCAAAATATATTTCCATATCTGTAATGTCACGAAAGAAAACGCATACAAAAAAAACACCAAAAAAAGTAAAAATTGTGTACTTCAGTCTGCATTCAGACTCCATCAGTTCTTTCTCTGGAGGTAGATAGCATTTTTCATCATAAGTCCTTCAGAATTGTCTTGGATCTTGGTATTGCTGAGAATAGCTAAATTATTCACAGTTGATCATCATATAATATTGCTGTTACTGTATACACCATTCTCCTGGATCTGCTCACTTCACTTTGCATCAGTTCATGCAAGTCTTTCCAGGTTTTTCTGAAAGCATTCTACTCATCATTTCTTTTTTTTTTTCAGGCAATTAGGGTTAAGTGACTTGCCCAGAGTCACACAGCTAGTGTCAATCATATACCATAACTTGTTCAACCATTCTGCCAATTGATGGGCATCCCTTCAATTTCCAATTCTTTCTATCACTAAAAGAATGGCTATATTTTTGCACATATAGGTGCTTTTCCTTTTTTTAAAATCTCTTTGGGATACAGACCTTGCAGTGATTGAGATTTTTTAAGACCATAAGCAATAATCAGAAAATGCTTCCTCTCATGTAAGCACACACAAGGCTAGTTCCACTAAATCAGTGAAGACCCTCTCTCTGCCCCAATAGGAAAGCTGGACCCTAAAAGCTACAAAGTGATGGCTGTAATGAGGCCATCCTTTCACCTGAGGCTGGGTTTTCTCTGCATCATCTATCCCTGACTTCAGCCATGAGAATCATGAGTCCATTCTGATCCATACCTATTGCCAATTGTCGCAAGCCAGGGATGACTGAGGCTAGTCTGGTGGTTCCAGTTCAGGATCACAACAAAACAAAATGTTTGTAGATCATCTAATAGTAAAAGGACATTTAGTATAGAAAGGATATTCAGCAAGGATATAGTGTTGGTTCAGGTAGATATATTCCCCCCCTAGAGGTATGTTGAGTTCACAAAGCATTGGAACAACCATCAGTCTAAAGGGCACTGAGTCCTCATTGGTTGACCATCAGATAGCTAAGTCATTAGCTCAGACTCAAGTCCTCTAGGTCAATCAAGTATAGCTTTTCCTGTTAGGGAAAAAGTAACTCAACCTACATTGCAGAACATAATAGATCTTACTTCTACCACAATTTAATGATTTGTGGGGTACAATTCTAAATTACTTTCCAATTCACAGTTCTAACAACAGTGCATTAGTGTGCCCAACCCTTCAAATACTTGCCATTTTCCTTTTTTGTCGTCTTTGTCAATCTGAAGGGTGTGAGGTGCAACCTCAGAGTTGTTTTCATTTGCATCTCTCTTTTCTTAGTGAACTGAAGCATCTTCCAGTATGGTTGCTAATACCTTGTATTTCTTCATTTGAAAATCTATTGTTCATATCCTTTGACTATTTATCTGCTGGGGTTGCCCATTTTCCAAACATAAGCCTACAGAAAAAAAAATTATAATCTCAATTCATTAATTAACAGGCATGGGAGTGTAATAGGTAATCTATCTACCAGTTAGAACTATGCTGAAGCTACTAGCTAATAGTCAGAGCCTATCTGGGCCTCCCTTTGCATAATTCTGAAGTGTGCTCACAGCCCACCAGAGGGCACTCAGCCTTCAAGCTCTTGGACTACTCCCCTTCCACTATCCCTACCTCAACGCTGCTCCTAGTGGGTGCATTGGGCAATGGCCCCTGGATTCAATATTAATCAAATTAAGAACAGGCATACTTAACCTTTTTTGTGTGTATTATAGTGGCAAGCTGATAAAACCTGTGGACCCCTTATCAGAATAAGATTTTTAAATACATAAAATAAAATTCATAAGATGATCAGAGAAACAAAAGGTTAATGAAAATAAATATGAAATTTTTTCCCATCGAAGTTCATAGACACCCTCCCCCTCAAAATCTATCCATGGACCCCAGGTTACGAACATCTGATATTGGAGTATGATATGAAATATGTCTGAGGATTATTAAAATACAGAAATCTTCATGGTTCTTGGCTGGGGAATTTCCTGGTCAATGCTCGATGATTCTGTCCCTTTATTAAACACAGTCAAGTAAAAAAAGCAAAGAAACTGCCAAACATTGTGCTCTCACAGAGGCCTTCACCCATTTCTCTCTAAATCTCCTCCTGGTTGCCCTCCCATTTCTTTTGGATGCCTGGGGAATTGTCCCACATCACCTTCTCCCATAGGTAATAGAAAGAACTAATTAAGTGGGTTAAGTGCCTAGGACCTTTCCTGGGATCATGGACTACAAGCACAGCAAAGTAGGACAAAAACAAGAAGGAAGGAGAGCTGGAGGTTCCAAATGGCCTCCCAACTTCTCATCACCTGCTGAAGTTTCCAGGAGCTGTTCTGGTTCTCAATACTATCTGGACTCACCTCCCTGCACACTAGTTCCCACCTATCTGCTTTGGCTCCCATGCCAATCCTGGTCTCCATCCTTCACCTCCAGAAGATAGAAAAACAAGTAGCAGAAGCCACTTAGAGGACTAAGAGCTCCTGGTCTGCTACCATCTCTTTCCCTGCCCCAGTGTCTAATGGCTGCTGGGCAGTCTCTCTAGAGCTACAGGGACTTGGTCTCAGGTACCTAAAGTCAGTTCCCCAAAGTCACCTAGAAGTCAGCTATCCCTTCTTCACCCTGCAGCAGCCACATACTTCTATTCCCTTGCATGATGACAAAGGAAGAGTCCAAATCTCAAGAGCATAGAGGAAGAAAAAGAAAAGTATCCAGTCTCCTATAACAAAATAACAGTTTGGTCACAGCTCTATCTTCTGGAGTCCTTGCTATTCTGGATCAAGCGATAACTCCTACATTACTCCCCAAGGGGCTGGAAAATGGCAACTGTCAGAGAGACCCAACTCCTAGTGAGAGGGAAGGTTAGCCATTCTATCACTGAAGAGCAAACAAGGGATTCTGATAGGAGGGTCACTTGGCTTGGGGTCCCCTACCATGAGCGCCTATTAGACACAAATGAAACATGGATTCTATAAGACTGTGAGCACACGACTACTCATTATTCAAGCCACATTCTTTATTGGAGCTAAATAAAGATCAAAATGACAATGCTTTATATTCTTATATATGGATCCTTAGACCCCTTCAAATAACTCTGCTGGTTGGTCTAGATAAGCGAAGCCCAAACAACTTTGGTGGTGGTGTTGACAAAGAATCAAGAAACTCTGTTATCTCCTCAGATTCAAGGCACGTTATCCTTCACATAGTTAAGTGCTCAAAACTCTAATTGAGGGGCAGGTAGGTGGCACAGTGGATAGAGCACCGGCTCTATCAGGAGGACCTGAATTCAAATCTGGCCTCAGATATTTAAAACTTACTAGTTGTGTGACCCTGGGCAAGTCACTTAACCCCATTGCCTAGACAAAAGAAAAAACAAAAACAAAAATATTAATTGAATACATGAATGAATGAACGAGCATCTAGGAATTTCCTTCTTACATCCAGCTCCCCATCCTACATTCTCTTTCACCCAGGACTGTGCCCTACTCCACTCTACCCCTAAAGACCTTACCCTTCAACCTTACCCCACCACAAAGCCTAGCATAGAGGGAAATGGCTTACCTCTTTGCTTGTGACTGGCCAGCCCTGAGCAAACACAAAGGATGTAGAAACCCTTCCAAGTGAGGGGAATGTTCAGTTTCCTCCTGGTCCTTGGGTGGGGCCCAAATACGGTTGGGTCGTTAGTTTAGTGGGGTGTGGGCACAGAAAGTAAATGTTGACTTTACTTTTCTCTGAATTTCCTAAATAAGGAGAAATACGTTTCTCTCATCATGCCCTGACCGTCCCAGACAGGACAGGCTGAAGGGGCAGTGAAGGGGGGAGAATGAATGACAGATTCAAGGGAAAACAAAAAACCAAAGCTCCCTGGTTCACACCTCCCTCTCCAATAGAAGAGAAGGAAAAACCAGTACAAAGGAGAGTCAAGTTAGGAATTTGCCCCACAGGTTTGGAATGCAAAGGAGCGAATGAGGTCATAGGACCACAGATTTAAACACGGATAAGATCTGTGGGGTCATCTAATCTAAACTCCGCATTTTACAGATAAGGAAACTGAGGCTTTGAGCAGCAAACTGACTTGCACAAATAGGTGACTAGGCAGGAAGGTTGGAGCCAAACTGTGGGCACCACACAACACAGGAAGTTAGTGGCAAAGCTCTGTTTCCAAATCGTCTTCTCTCGGCTCTGTATCAGAGGTGCAAGACTGGAGCCCAATATGTAGGGCCTAGGAATAACCACTCCATCCAGATTCTAGACACATCATACTGTCACATCTATCAATGGTTGAGAATTATTGTAGATAGCATACCAAGTTTATTTGTTTACTGGGAGAGTGGGGAGGAGTGGCCCACAGAGGCAAATAATTGGCAGAAGTTAGGTAGGAAACTAATAAGGTTTTATGGAGACAGGTCTGGAGACCTGTTGTGGGGACCTATGTCCACAAAGCCTGGACAGTTGGCCTTCCAACAAATAACTTTTTAAAATGCAAATACTGCTGGGAGGGGTCACACTTTAAAAGTCACAATCTCAAACCTTAATTAAAATGAGTCCACTTTGTGGAGGGGCAGGTCAGGTTAGAGGGGGGAGGGAAGTGATTGGAAGAATAATTGAAGGGACAAATGGAGAGACAATTTCACCTAGGGTGGGTGGTGTACCTAGATT